TTTGCATTATTCTCCCAGGGTAACGACTTTGAAGACTCTTGAGTGGCACCCCACCACCTTCAACTGTTTCACTTTCCCCTTCCTCCCTCCATACTTCATGGCAGGCTGACAGTCCCATATTGCACCTCATGCTGCAACTCCTCTGGAACTTCAGTCTGTAACCCTCCTAACCCTCAGTCCCTCCTAACTCCGCCCTGCTATCGTTTCTCCTTAGGCTCCTCCCCTCACGTAATCTGTGTGAGCTACTCTTCTGCAACGGAGGCTTGTCCAGGGCTGCCACCCTTCATAGCCGAAGGTTATATGGACGATCAGCTCATCATTCGCTACGAAAGCCACACCAGGAAGATGCATCCTCGAGTAGATTGGATAAATACACTGGAGAAGGAAGATTTCAGATTCTTTAACAAGTACACCTGGATTTTGCAACATGACCAGAAAGACCTTCAGGAGGACGTGCAAATGCTCCAGAGACTCTATAACCAAAGTGGAGGTAAGTAAGGGGTGGGAGAGACAAGTGAGGAGTGGGAGAGACATGGGTGCTATCTTGCAAGAAAGGAGACGAAGGAGAAAGCTCCGTTTTCTTATGGATCTTCCGGCCTTCCTCATGAATCGGACCGATTGGTCCACAATAAGCTGGTGGCTGATGCCCTGGCCTTTTCCCTCTTGCAGAGCTCCAATGAGCTCGAGTCTAAAATGAAAATATGGCTGTCATGGTTCTGACAGATGAAACTCTTCAAAGAACTTGTAGGTGTTGTTTACCCTAAAGAATCCTTATTTGAGAAGCATAGCATCGGCACTAACACAGTCGAAGCCAAAAACTGGATTCCCCTCCCCTGAGCACATAGTATCAAAGCACAATTCCCTCCTCCAATTAACAGTCATAAATCACATTCTACAATTAGTTTCAAATGCAGGCTCTCCTTCCAGTTCTCCAGCCTGGACAATTCTTATCATCTCTTATTTCAATAACCTTGGTTCATACACTAGGTTCAGTATTATTATGTCTAGCTAAACTCTCATGCATATTCTCCCCCCCCCCAGCATCATCTAACTCTAACTCTAAGAGTAAAACATAAGAAGGAAATGGTTACATCTGCATCTCTTGTCAAAGCAAAAACATCTGATGTTAGCAGCGTTGACAATGGCAGTCCCACCGAGAAGCATTAGGAATGTGAATTTTTTTTTGTGTGGGTGCAGAAAATTAAGCAAATAGAGCCCAAAATTTCTGTTGCTAAGTCTGACATTTGCTAAGTGAGTTTGCCCCATTTTACGACCTTTCTTGCCCCAGTTGTTAAGCGAATCACTGCACAGTCGCTAACCCTAACAGTCCTAAGACTACCTGTACATCCATATATAATTTTCATAGCAGCAACAGAGATTAGAATTAGAATTAGAATTAGAATTAGAATTAGAATTAGAATTAGAATTAGAATTAGAATTAGAATTAGAATTAGAATTAGAATTAGAATTAGATAGAATAGAATAGATGGAAGGGACCTTAGAGATCTTTTAGTCCAACCCCCTGCTCAGGCAGGAAACCCTATACAATTTCAGACAAATTTTTGTCCAGTCTCTTCTTAAAAACTTCCAGTGTTGGAGCATTCACCGCTTCTGGAGGCAGGTTTTTCCACTGGTTAATTGTGCTCACTGTCAGGAAACTTTTCCTCAATTCTAGGTTACTTCTCTCCTTAATTAGTTTCCATCCGTTGCTTCTTGTCCTGCCTTCAGGTGCTTTGGACCCCCTGTTCTTTGGGGCAGCCCCTTAGATATTGGAACGCTGCTATCATGTCCCCCCTCATCCTTCTCTTCGTTAAACTAGACATACCCAATTCCACCAACCGTTCCTTATATGTTTTAGCCTCCAGTCTTGCTCTTCTCTACACTCTTTCTTGATTCTCAACATCTGTAACAAATATCATCCACAAATGCTAACAAGATAGATCTTTTGCCTTCATAATTTTGAGTTATCTGAAAGTGATCTCAGGAAAGGCAACTTCACTCCAGTGCCGGGAGATGTGGGCCTCTAAAAAATCCTGTCTTAATTAAGGAAATTTGGACTGCATGAGGAATTTCCCAGCCTTGTTTATAGTGAGTTCCTTTATAGTGAGATTTCATCTGTCTTACAGATCCCAAATTCTGTCTCAACCTCGACTGGCCTTCAAGATCTCTTCCTGTAATCCTTGTCTTTCTTGCTTTCTTGTCTCAGCAGTCACAGAATCTGGAGCTCCAGCAGGAAGTGGCTTTCTCTGATTTCCTAGAGAACTTTTCCTCCTAACCTTGGGGATGCTTCTTTTAGGCTTTCACATCGCCCAGATGATGGTCTTCTGTGAACTAGGGGAAGATGGGAAAAGGAACGGCCGCTGGCAGTACGGCTATGATGGGCGGGATTTCCTTGGCTACGACATGGGGACCGGCATCTGGACAGCAGCTGACAAAGAGGCCCAGTGGCTCAATTGGAGGGGCGAAACCTACGTCAATCAGCGTTTCACAGATTACCTGGAGAATATCTGCACGGAGTGGCTGCAGAAGTATGACCACTACAGATCTGAGATATCCTTGAGGGAAGGTATGGAGAAACAGCCAGAGAGAAAGTATGGGAGCTGCATCTGCTTAGGTGTTGCAAGTATTTCCTGTGTAGGTTTGCTGGCAAGAACAGGCCAGATGACCCAATTGGCTTGTTTTCTGCTGGCGATCGTCAGCCGATGTGCTGCCCCACTCACTCACACCCAGGTAACTGTGGCTTAGTGAGTTTATTAATGTTCCCCAGTAATTCCCTTTACCAAGATTCAGAACTCTCCCTATAGGCGCAGCCACAAGCAAGCCAAGATTAGTCCACAAAGCAACTGGTCAATAGTCCACAAATAAATGAAAGTTGTTCAAACAAATAGCTCCAACAAACAAACTTAAATCCACCAGGCCAAAATAAAATACACACTCAAAAGCTCACTTAGCAAGAAAAGTTCAGAGTCTCCAAGACACGATTCCAAACAGTGAAGCAGGAAGCATGATGATGAAAGAAACAGCCGGCAGTAACGCCTCCCTATTCCTGCTGTCCTAAATAGCCAGTTTCCCAGTGCAGCCCATCAAGACGGGCAGGGCCTTCTCCCTAGTAGTCTGGCTGACCTCCACTGCTCCTGCCTTTTCTCTGCCCTGTGTGCTCTCGGATCAGGTGCAGGAGGCAGTTCCTCCTCCTCTTTGCTGGCTGTCTGCCTCTGCAGGCTTTCCCCAGCTGAAGCCTCCTCTGATTCTCTTTCAGCTGGATGTTCAGAGTCATTATTTAACTGAGCGAGGAAGAATCTAGGGAGTCGTCCAAGCGATTGCAGCCTTGATGCTGCCCTTGTTTTTAGCCCTCTCTGATATTTTTTTTTAAAAAATCAGTCTCTAGAAGTGGAAATAGTAGTGTCAATCTTGTAAGGCAGACATGTCAAACACAAGGCCCGGGGGCCGGATGCGGCCCGCAAAGTGGTTTCATGTGGCCTGCGAAGCCATCCTGGAAACAGTGAGGGAACGGCCCCTCTGCCTTGGCCCTGGCCTAGGCCAGCCGGGAGCCAATGTACAATTTTGTGGTGGCCATCTATGCTGAAACGCATTCAGTCTTAGCTCCATAAGCCCCCCCCCCCGCATGGCCTGAGAGAAACAGTGTGGCTCCTCCAGTGGACAATGCCTTGGCACTTGCCCTGGTCCCACCCCCTTCTGCCAGAGACCCTCAGATCTGTCCCACTCTTGCCCAGGCCCCCATAGGCACCCTTGACGCGAATGATATAGAGCTGGCCACACCCACCCAGTATGCCACACCCACTCCATCCACGCCCACCCAGTAGGCCGCACCCACCCTGGCCACACCCACCCAGCCCCCTGTGGGCAACCGCAATGCTGATGTGGCCCTCAATGAAATTGAGTTTGACACCCCTGTTTTAAGGGAATCCAGACAGGAAACAGGACCAGAAGAGTTAATTCGAATCAAATCAAATGTGCTGCCCCACTCACTCACACCCAGGTAACTGTGGTTTACTGAGTTTATTAA